CCAACCCCCCCCCCCACAAACCCCCCCCCCCCCCTTTCCTACGCTACTGTCTCCAATGTATTTTGAAAGGTTACCCGGTTAAATATTTGTGTTTTATTTGAAGGAGCCGTAGATCTTCATATATGGAAATAATGAAACAGTCGTTTATCCCTTTCTGAAGACTTTGGAGCGGTTTTTGTGTCTCGTCCCCCGTACTTTGCTATCCAAATGTGACTTTGTGTCTCGTGCCGTACTTGGCTATCAAAATGTGACTTTGTGTCTTGTGCCGTCCTTGGCTATCAAAATGTGACTTTGTATCTCGTGTCGTACTTGGCTATCAAAATGACTTTGTGTCTCGCGCCGTACTTGGCTATCAAAACGTGACTTTGTTCAATGTCTTTTGTCTATTTTAGGACGCAGGTTAGATCAATGGCCTATGTCGTGGGTTTCAGCGCCCGGGGAAGGGCAAACGTACTTGGCACCGAGTCCGATCTTTCAGTATAATCTTAAAACCTTATTCGCCAAGCACAGAGATTGTATTTTGTAAAAAAACAAAACGATGCATTTAAAAAAACAACAACATTCAATGTATCTTATTTTATGGGGGGGGGGGGCCTCCATTTTTCTTTACGCCCCTTGTTTTGGAGGAAAATAATAATCTCATATAGTCTTGTTGTTTGCCGTCCGCACCCTCTAACAAAGAACCCACACATTAACAAAAATCAGGATAACCATTTTAACAAAAAATAGACTAATATAAAACATAATATATGGACATTTGTCCTACTATAATTAAGTCAATTTCTACTGGGTAAGTGGATCATGCAACGCCTGAATCAGATGATAAAACCGTGTGAGGTTTCGGGTGGGGGGTAATCTATGAATGTTTAAAAAAAACAACAACCTTGTACAAGGATATAAAGCTAATTATAGGGTAATATGTGTTAGTTGAGTAAGTGAGTCTATGATTAGTGTACACCAGCTGCTGCCAAGTGACTACGGAATAGCCGCGGGCTTCCCTTTCAATCGATACATTTCTCTTTTAATTCACCATTATGATTATAATAATTACTAAAGGCGACTTTGTGACGTCATCTTGGGAAACGCTGGTGTAAAATAAAACTAATTCATTAGAATGGGGTCTTCTCTCTGTGTGTATATATATATATATATTTTTGTTTTGTTTTTTTTAGGTGAATTCTGTAGTCTCGGATTACGTGGCTCCCAACTTTAAAGCCTAAGAACCCCCCCAAACGCGTTCTAGATTCTGAACCCTTTGACACCCCTTACCCCCCCCCCGCCCCTCTCTCGATCAGACACCGATAGACATCACTTATCATCTACTTATCTTCATCGAGTATCTCCAAATCTTCAAGTTTCCGGCACCCTCCGTGCGAACACCCCATCTTGCTATAATAGATCAGTAAAGGAGGTGTAGGAGAAGGAGACACACTCAACAACGACATGTCAGACATGCCCCACGTCCCGAGTGTTGGCTTCAGCGCAACCGAAAACTGTCATGATCATACCGCGGTGTCAGTCGCCAGTCGTCATCCGTTTTAAAAAAAAAAAAAAAAAAAGAGAAGAAAATAAATACAGACGGCTGCGTTTGATATTTCTATAACTAATGTAAGGAAAGTTGGGGGGGAAACAAAATGAAATTTAGCTAAGCGCTAGGCCGGCTCCCTAGCGGATTCATATCAACATGTCAATGGATCGTCGGTTTGATAGCTTGAAGAAAGTAAAGGAAAGTGGCCAGTCTTGTTAAAATGTCATTGTTATGAATTAACAGAACCGGAAGCAAATTCTGCCGTTTGGAGTTTTGTTGTTTGTTAACTTGCATTACGAGTTAACGAGAATTTCCGATGCGACGCGTCGCATATTAATGCGCATATATTGTGTGTGTGTGTGTGTGGTTTAATAACAAAAAAAGTATCTGTAATTGCACAATTAACATTTATTATACATAAAGGAAGGTTAGTAAATAAAGTATAATTTTTAAAAATTAAGGGCAAACCCCCCCCCCCACAAAAACAACTGAACTGAACTGACGCATGCGCAGG